CAGAACCCTCCTTGCTTTCTGAAACTGAGGAGGACCTGAAGCACTTGCTGCAGAAGGTCAAGGACTGCAACCTTCAATATGAATCGAAGCTCAACATCAAGAAAACAAAGATTCTCACCACTGGACCGATTGGCAGCATCATTATCGATGGTGAAGAGATTGAGATTGCTAACAGTTTTAGTTTGTTAGGCTCTATAATAAACATTCTTGATACCAGAAGCCAGGGGATCAAGAGACAAATTGCATTGGGAAAATCAGCTGTCAGGGACCTCTCCAGAGTACTGAAGGGCAAGGATGTCAGTCTGGAGACTAAGGTGAGCCTGATCCAGGCCATAGTTTTGACAATTGCTCGCTATGCATCAGAAAGCTGGACAATGACTAGGGATGATAGAAAGAGAATTGATGCCTTTGAGCTGTGGTGCTGGAGAAGAGTGTTGAATATAGCATGGACTTCTAGGAGGACAAACAAGTTTGTCCTGGAGAGGGTGAAGCCAGGCTGCTCCTTGGAGGCAAAGATTCTGAAGCTTTATCTGACATACTTTGGATATGTTACAAGGAGGGACCAGTCCTTGGAGAGAGACGTCATGCTTAGGAGAGTGGAGGGACAGCACAGGAGAAGAAGACCCTTGATGAGATGGATTGATTCAGTCACTGAGGTAATCAGGGTAGGTTTGTCAGGGACGATAGGGTGGGACAGGACAAAGCAGGATTTAGGGCTCTTGTACATAAGGTCACTACGAATCGCAAGCGACTCGACAGCACATAACAACAACAACAAACTGTATCATACTATGTGGGAAACTACCACATTTTCACTCAGATACACACATTTCAACTATACATTTTCCTAACCAAGACAACTAAATTGCTTTAAATATTTAGATTCTTTTCCTCTGGCAGAGGTCCATTATGCTTTGAAATAATTCTATTAAAAAGGTGTTTTCTTTTCATCATTGAAGCTCATTATGTTGCAGATTCAAATACATTCTGTCAATATGTGATGCAAACAAGAAATTGAAAAGGTTTATTTGCAAATTCCAAAGGGTTGCTTGAAATAGCCAATGGTACAAATGAAAACCTACAGGGCATCCCAACGAATATTTCAGTGTTACAAATAAGCCATGCCCTTAGCCAAGCCCACCTGCCCTGGAGACTTGGGGGACAGTCCTGTCTTCTGAAAGGCCACATGGGAGCAGAGATGTACAGGATAGGGCAGGCCAGAACAGTAGCCAAGGCCCAGGACTCCTGGACAGTGACTGGACAGACCGAAAATAAGAAAGGGGCTTAATGTAGCCAAGTTCTAGGGAGACAGAGTGGCTAGGTTCCCACCTCCCCATTTCAGTGGTCTGTTCAGGTCCCAGGTTAAATGATTTAGGGTGACTCCACCTCACACCTCTAAACTCTCAGCCTTTTTTACACTCAGTATCTTTCTTAGATTCATCCCTATTGATAAAACCAACCCAGGGGTGTTAGAATCAGGGGAGGATGTGGACTGCACCAGCTGACACTATCGGAGGCGAGTGGCACCAAAGTGACTTCCTATAACATTTTTGTGCAGTGTTTCAGTAGATATTCATTATTTTTATTCTTAAAAAATCCTGTAGTTATTCGGAAGCAGGACTTGTAAAAAAGTAAATTTTGAAATATTTGTGATTTCTGTATCTATTTAATAAAGTTGTTGTTGTTGTTATGTGCCAAAAAAAAATCCTGTAGTTATAATAAATAAGAAATCAAACTTAAAGTAGAAAAAATAAAATCCTGTGGTTAGTTACAACCAATTTTTTTTCCATGAGCCCATCTCACATGCATCAATACACCTCCAAAGCAAAAACTCTATGTTAACGTACTTCTCCAGTCTTTTAATGGAGCCCAGCCAGCCCAGCTTGTTATCCAATTACAAGGGTGCTTTGAATCCCCTAGTTTCAGCCATGTGCATTACAGGCATGCAGTGTTACCAAAGTAGAGGGGAAAGTCTGCGAGGGGTGCAGGGGTGCCACCAACCTTAGTGATGCCAGTAAATACGTTACCAAACTCTCAGCAAATTTTTCATGAGATTAAGTGGGGTGGGGGGAATCTGGGCTTGAAGAAAAAAGCTTTGTGGTTGGAATCTGAACAGTATCACTAGTGAGAGCAACAAATAAACGAGCTGGTGCAGAGCCGCTGACAGGGTTGGTCCGCTTGTCGTTGACATTAGAATATGCACAGCAGGAGGACAGAGACCTCGGCACATCAGAACGCCACCAGGCACAGAATTCAACTGATGTCTTCAGCCCGGATGTAGCAGATTTCAAAATTGTGAAATGCTCTTCTAAAATAAATCGCTTTCTTCCTGACTCTGACCAATGGCAATCTTGCGTGCTTCTGAGCTGAACTGTGCTCCAGAGAGTTTTTTAGTGAATGATTTTTCAGAAGTTAATCGCTATGACTTTAGCCTAAGGTGCTTCTGGGTAACTCACGCTTTTAACCTTTTCGTTAGTGGCTGAGCACATAAGCCACCTGCACTGCCCGGGGACTCTGAACTGCTCTTGTATTGGTAACAAATACACAAACTTTTTGCTTGGGGCCCTTTCTCCCAAACCTTCAGGGGTTTTCATGCTCCAGCAACTAACAAGTTAACACAGAAGCCTCTGGGATTTAGCTCAAGTCTGTGTCCATTCTGGAAGGCAAAGTCCTAAGGTCATTAAATATTTCAACTAGTACCTCAGGGTGCATCCCCCGCCTGCAGGCTAGCTTCTGGTAGGTGCTCTATACATACTTCATTCAGGAACAAACAGGTATTGTATTAGTCTTTCAGTGCTGGTAACAAAAACAAGTGGGCGGCCTTATTGACTAGGAAGGCATTTTCCCAGCGTTTGGAAGGTGAGAAGTCTCTTGTCTGGGCTTCTTTGTCCTTTTTTTCTCTCCACATTTTGTGCAGCTCTTTCACTTCTCCCAGCTTGCTTCTGCGCATCAACAGCTTCCTTCATACCTCAGACATTACTGCTTTAAGGGAGCTCTGGTGGCCTAAGGCTAAGAAGCAGTGCTACAATCCAAAAGGCATGTGGTTCGGATCCACCAGCTGTTCTGCAGGAGAATGGACAGTCTCCTCCTGTGCGATTCACTGTCTCAGAAAACCAGCTGGAGGGTCAGCTATGGGTCTGTTCTGACTCGATGGCACATAACAATAATGGCATTTGTGTAACAGTCATTGCCATCTAAGAATCCTAACCCTTATGGGAGTCCTGGTGGTGCAATGGTTAAACAGCTTGAAATGTTGTTGGGCCACAGGATCATCTGCTCCCATAAGGATTTCAGTGGAGGAAACCCTGCAGATAGTTCTACCTTGTCTGATAGGGTCAGTATGAGTTGGAATCAACTTGATGGCATTCAACAACACACTGATAAGGCCTTGTTAAAGTATTAAAGTAACAAAGAAGAATCTTATTTCCAAAGGGATTATATTCATACGTGTAGGAACAAGACATATTTTTCAGGAGATGGAGTTCAAACACAGCAGGAGTGAAATTCCTGTTATGTGACAGACTCTGCACTGTGCAAATCTAGGGCTTGGGAAAAGGGCCAGAGGTTTGGTAAGCAGCGTGTGATCTGACAGAAGTCCTTGTATGTGGAATCAGCTCCATAATTTGTAGAATCCAGAGTAAAATAGTAGAAAGGAATTGCACTGCCGACCCAGAGGTGGTGGTGGTTGTTATTGTTGTGCCCACAAAAGTGCCGCCGAAAGGAGCTCTTACACGTATGTAAAAAACAAAAAGCACATTTAATTCTCCACATGTGGGACTCCCTCCCTCAGTGGAAAGATGGCCAGAGAAAGAGAGATCCTCGAGTTCCTGCGCAATTGTTTTTAAGGACTTCCCAGGTGCTTCTATTTGGGGCAGGGAGATTGGGAATATGGTTGGTTGTGAGGGAAATCAGTCATGAGGGTTGTCTTCTAATTGGTGGGCTTATTTTGCCCACCTCTGCCCTCTCCGTGTCACATAATTCGGTTAATTGGTTACATTTAATCTGATAAGACTTTTGCCCCAAGAGACTTCCCGGTGCCTCCGGGTTAATTCTGCTTTTACTGCCTGCTTCTAAAACTAAGAATTTTTATGGCCCGCTTCTGCTTCTGGGATTAATGGGGTTTATGCGGTCTCCTCAGTTATGTGCCCTCGAGTTGCTTGCAACTCATAGTGAGCCTATGTAAAACAGCCCTAAACCCTGCTCTGTCCTGTGCCAATCACGCTGTCTCCATCACATCCACCCCGATTACCCCAGTCACTGAATCAATCCACCTCATAGAGGGTCTTCCCCTCTGGTGCTGTACATGGTTTAAATTCCCCAGCTGCTCTGTGGGACAAAGATGGCCCATCTCCTCCTGTGGGATTTATTGCCTCTGAAAACCCTCCAGAGGGTCAGCTATGGGTCAGTTACAACTCAACAGTACACAACAACAACAGTGTAAAGCTGAAATCCTTGCCTCCTAGTTTGAAAAGCAAGTAAAAAGTATTTTTCTTTTTTTTTTTTTTTTCCCTTGCCAACTCTCTCTTGACCTGCCATCATGGCTTTTGGGATAGTAAGTCACAGCACAAGTATAGACACTCAGAAGGCCATGCTTGGGCCTCATCTTGATTGTCCCATGTCCACACCGGTCTCTGGATATGAGGAGAAGGTGGCAGTTGTCGCAGGCACAGGATGAAGGCAGGGCCATGGGTGGCTACGCTGGCAAGGTGGAGTGCTGGTGAGAGGTGGAGTCCCAGTGAATTAGCTCTGCAGGCATGCAATAACACAAATTAATGATTTCAAGACAGCGACTATTGAGCCATATACCCTAAGCCCCATCTATCCTCGGCACAGGCCCTGAACAACAAACAATACAGGTAGTAGGAACACGTTAATCACTGTGTTAATGACTCTATGCTCCTACTTGTATGTGATTTCCCCTCAAGACCGCCTCATCGTGGTGGGTGGACCCTGGGAGGCGGCTGGGGCGCAGGAAGAACCCTTTTTCCTTCTCTCCACAGGGGCTGTGAGGGCCTCCAGTGTGTTCCCCATCCTCAGCGTCACACTGCTGTTCTTCGGTGGACTCTGCGTGGCAGCCAGTGAGTTCCACCGCAGCAGACACAACGTCATTCTCAGCGCGGGTATCTTTTTTGTTTCTGCAGGTGAGCATCTGGCTCCAGCCCTGAGATTGGCACAGGCATCCACCTAAAGCCAGGGCCATGGGGACAGAGTGATACTACTCCCTGCAGGGAGAGAACACTCGGCTGGTTGTGTTTTGAATGGGGACGCAAAGATGCTTTAACTTGAAGGACTTTCATTCAAACCAAAAATTTAAATGCTAGCTGAGAGTGGCATGAAGAAGAGAGAGAGGAGACAGGGTGACAGCAAAAACTGAGAGGCTAAGAGAAAGAGATTGGAGAAAGCATGGGGAAGAATGTATTTGCAAAAAAGAAAAAAAAGAATGTATTTGCACATATGAGAAAGATAGTGGGGGGAGTGCACACGTGTGTGTGTGAGAGAGAGAGAGAAAGAGAGAGAGAGAGAAAGTGCGAGAAACCAACTCACAGTGTTGTTAAAACATCAAAGTGGTTTAATAAGGTCCAACTTCTTATTCACTATTTTCACACCATCTTTGTTCTATCGAGACATATATTTGCTGATGAACCACTGTTTACAACTTCTCCTGTTAGTCAAAGAATCTCTGGGGGAAAGGTAAAAACCAGTAGCTCTGGTTATAATCCACAGCAGCCCAGACCAGAATACATGTATTTGTGGCATGGGGACAAGTGAGACGATACTTAAGGAAAATAACTATTCCCTCCCTCTGCACCCTTTATCTCTTCAACACACATCCACTCTTTCCACTTTTCTGACCTTATTATCTTTCCTCTGGGTTGACAGCTTTCTTTTCATCTCCTTGCCCCCTCTCTCAGCCCCTTTAGGAAGGTCAGTGCAATCTGGAGGAAAAGCTTCAGAGGAGCAAAGAACAGAAAGGGGCAAGGAGGAAAACCCACTCTGGAAAACTGTATTTGGTGATGGCATTTAAATTCTGCACCATGATGGTAACACGTGTACATTGCTATTTAATAGAAGCGGTGAGAAGGAATCAATAAACTCATCGGGAGAGTCTAGGGCTGCAGCCAGGCCTCCTGGGTTTGAATCCTGCCTCCACCTGGGCAACCTTGGCAGATAACTAACTTCTTATGTCTTGGTTTATCTGACTGGCCAATGGGAAATAATAACAGTACTTATCGGCACAAATCATTAAATGCTGGCTGTTCATGGAAAGGCTGGTTGGTAAACCACCCAATGGCTCCATAGGAGGAAAGACCTGGCAATGTGCTTCTATAAATCTGCTCTTATAGAGATTATACACTAGAAACTCTACAAGGCAGCTCTACTCTGACCCACAGGGACAGGCTGCTATGAAATGAGATCAGCTCGATGGCACATAATGACAACAACAACAACAATGAAGTACTTCTCAGGGCTGCTGACTGAATGCCAGGTACACAGAAGGCCAACATCAGAGGCTAGTATTGGAAAGGCAAGAGCACTGGTGGCCTCATGGCAAGAAGCTGCACTGCAATCTCCAAGGCATGCAGTTCAAATCCACCAGCTGCTCCGCAGTACAAGGATAGGCAATTAACTGCCTCTGAAAACCAACTGGAGGGTCAGCTAGGAGGCAGTTCCAAGTTGACAATACTCAACAACAACAATCCAAAGGACAATAACAATATAGTTCAAAAGTCTGGATCTGGGAATCTTGTCTATTTTGAGACTTTGCTCAGACTCTTTCCCTAGTCTGGTTCTCCTTCTAAGAAAAGAAGGAGGTTAGATGTTACCCACTTGTAAGTCTCTGGAAATCAAGTCAATCCAGAATCCAGAATAAGGTTGCCATCTTACCACAGTGCAACATCATTAATCACTGGCAATTGTCTATTATCTGTGGACAGATGATAACACAGAGATCTAGGCACTTGCTTTGATTTGAGGTATTTTCCAGTCACTGAGGCCCGTGTCCAGATCTCCTGGGTTCTGATTGACCCAGAGGATCTGTTGTGCTAACATGAGGATTGTCTATGAGCAAGAGAGGATCTTTATATTGTATCCTAGAGAATTGTGATGGAAGAACGTGTCACTGGAAATGTTCTTCTCATGCAGGATGGCAGGTAGATGTACATAGAAATGGCGAAGCATTAGGGCAGTAGAAAGAGCCTTTTAAAAAGCCAGAAGCTTGGGGTCTACCTCTAGATTACACACCTCTGATGTCCCCAAGATGATCAAAGAACTTTCTGTTTTCCCACCCGGTCCTCTAAGACTCCATTTTTGCTCAACCATACTAAGGTTTTGTGGTGTCTGACAAGCAAACAACAACCTTTCGTGTGTGGAGCACAATGTCTAGGCCTGGAAGACGGGCTGCTCAGGGCAAATCTGAACTACTAGATGTGCAACGTGAGACTAACCACTTAACTTCTCTGTGCTTCAGGTTTTTTCCATCTGAAAAATGGAAATAATATTGGTCCCACCTCTTAAGCCTCTTAGAAGAATTCAACTAGCTGAAATATATGCAACTCCTAAAGAGTGCTTGGCATATGGCAAATGCTTAGTACAGAATAACTGTTATATACATTGCAGTATTTTGTTTTCAAGCCAACTCAGTTCATTCACTGTCTCCTTGCTGTGGGTCTGAGTTAGCAGTTGGAGCCATAGAAGATTAATCAGAAGAGCTTGCTTCCTTCTTTGGGGAGCTTACTACAGTCTAGAGACTGAGAGAAAAGAATTGTCCATGCCCATCTTGAAATCTAAATAATCAACACTTTGTTACTGAAATCTAAATTCACCTGTGGCTAAGAGCTGCTCCTGCCTTCAAATCCCACCTCCGCCATTCCTCAGAGCCTAGACTTAGGAAGTGATTCACTTAGTCTGTGTCTCAGGATCTTTATTTACATAGTGGAGCTTAATATTTTTTTAAAGTGAGCTTGTTGCAATGATTGAGACAATGCATGCTTTGCACAGTTCCTGGTATATAGTAAATCTGTTGGCATTTTGAGTTATTGAGCCTCTTAGCAACCCTATGGGACAGAGTGGCAATGGCCATCATAGGATTTGCAAGGGCATATGCCAGGGATGTGTCCTGTCTCCATACCTTTTCAACCTGTATGCAGAACAGATTATCTGGGAGGCTGGACTCTATGAGAAGTGTCAGGACTGGTGGAAGATCTATTAACAATCTGTGATATGCAGATGACAGAACTTGCTGAAACTGAGGAGGACCTGAAGTGCGTGGTGCAGAGGGTCAAGGACTTCAGCATTCAATATGGATTGAGGCTCAATGTCAAGAAGACAAAGTTTATCACCACTGGACCAACTGGCAGCATCAGGATGGATAGTGAAGAGATTCAGGTTGTTCACGCTTTAGTTTTGCTTGGCACCAGCAGCCAGAAAATTAAAAGACATATTGCGATGGGAAAGTCTGCTGTTAGGGACCTCTCTAAAGTACTGAAAAGCAATGGTGTCTCTCTGGAGACTAAGGTGCATCTGATACAGGCCTTGGTGTTTGCAATCACTTGTTATGCATCAGAGAGTTGGACAATGACTAGGGAGGATAGAAGGAGAATTGATGCCTTTGAGCTGTGGTGCTGGAGAAGAGTATTGAGGGTACCATGGACTGCTAGGAAAACAAACAGATTCATCCTCTGGAAAGGGTTAAACCGGGCTGCTCCTTGGAGGCAAGCATTCTGAGGCTCCGTCTAACATACTTTGGACATGTTGTAAGGAGGGACAGGTCCTTAGAGAGAGACATCATGCTTGGGAGGGTAGAGGGACAGCGCAAGAGGGGAAGACCCTCTATGAGGTGGATTGATTCAGTGACTGGGGTAATTGGGGTGGGTGTATCAGAGACAGTGCGATTGGCACAGGTCAGAGCAGAGTTTAGGGCTGTTGTACATAGGGTCACTATGAGTCACAAGCAACTCAATGACACATAACAGCAGCAACAACAATCGTTATGAAAGATGTTCACGTCTTTCTCGTTGCAGAGTGGTGCTTGGGTTTGAAATGCTAGCCTTTTGGTTAGTAGCCAAGTGCTTACCCACTGCTCCACTAGGGTGGTTGTTGTTGTTTTGTGCCGTTGAGTTGTTTGCCACTAGAGTATCTCAGCACATAGTAAGCTCTCTATTAAAGACCTAAATAGTATAGCCTGTAAGGTAGTTCTACTCTGTCGTATAGACAGATATAGGATAGCCTATGAGATAGGATCACGTCAACAGCACCCAGCCATAACAAATGGTAGCTACCTCGGCTTCTCCCCACCTCCTTTAACTTGTTCTGATATTGAGCCTTTCTTGAGATTTTCATCTTTACCCTACCAAGACTCACTCTCGAATCTTTCCAAACTTTGTCACCAAGATTTTTCTGCTGGCAGAGGAGAGAAAGCACTCCCTTGGGGAGTCAGAGGGCATCATCAGAAGCCACCTTCATCCAGCTGAACTGCCTTTCAAGTCAGTCTCCCCTGGAAGCTTCAAAATTCGTGTGAATTCTGCTTTTTTCGTCCATATTGTACCCATGTTCATTTTCATTGAAAAGGATGTCTCTTCCCTACTAATCTTCAAGCCAAATTGACAATCCAGGAAGAGGAGTTGGGTTTTTTTTATTGTTGTTGTTATTTTAATTTTATTTTTTTTTGGCTTTTGCTCCAGTCATATTTGTAATTAGCATTCGCTGCCCACCTGCAGAAATCCTGCACTAGGTAATACCAAGAAGTGATAAGGCTGATCCCGCCTCTGCCTGTATCTTCTCATAGCGAATCCTAGATGGCGTATGGCCAGGGGTTATATGCAAAATATTGTTGTTGTTGTTGTTAGGGCCCATGAAGTCAACTATGACTAATAGCAACTCTATAAACAATAGATCTGAGCCCTTTGCTAGCCGGTGCCATCCTCCTCATCACTGATATACTGGCGCCCATTGCTACAGTCTCTGTGTCAATCCATTTTGCTGAGGAACTTCTCTCCTTTGCTACCCCTCCATCTTTGCAAGTATGATGCCCTTCTCCAAGAACTGACCTCTCTAACAACATGCCTAAAATATGGAAGACAAAGCTTCATCATCCTCGCCTCCAAGAAGCACCCTGGTTGCACCTCCTCAAAGACCTATTTAT